TTTGAGAATTTCATGGTTTATTAAAACCGTGTCGAGCTGCACGAATCTCGTGTAGCGTGCGGAAGCGGGGTCCGCGTCGCTTGGTGGTTCTATATAGCTCTATATAATATACATGATTCAGCCTGTTCCATACCTCAGTTTCACGCACACAGTCACACACCCTGTAACGTATATAGTAGCTATAGCTCACTCACACACACACACACACACACACACACAACACACACACACATCACCCGCCACACGGCCGCGCCGCGGCACCACCACAACACACACACAGCACAACACATCAACACACACGCACGGCACACACAACACACAACGACGCACGCACACACAACACATTACCACACACACACACACACACACACACACCACAACCACACACACACGCGCGCGCGCACGACACGCACGCAGCATATCAGAGTAAGGCATGTAACATACGGGCCGCGACGCGGGGTTGTCCCCCTTTACCTGCCCATGTGCAAAAAATAATCACGACCTATAAATAATAGATAAAGAGCACAAAACGTCAACCCTGGCATTGCTATACATCAATCTAATGATAATATACGCTGTAATTAATAACCATAATGTAATATTCAATGAATTGTAATCTATTATATTGATGTTTATTTATTAAATTCTGCGTGCGATTTGATGTTAGTGATATCTTAAACACTTGATCGGATTCTAACTGGTACAAACTTTCATTTCATTATTAGTAATTTAAACTAGGCACATTATATATTATATATAATATATATATATAATAAATTATATACATATTTATATAATTTACTACGGTTTTTCCCCAAAGTGGTCCCCACACGATATTTTCATCTGCTTTAAATTGTATGTATATTCTCATGCCCACTTATTTAAATCTGGCTATCGCCCACACACGCACGTATATGACACGCATACACCGGTGTCGGTATGCTGCCCATCATCCTGCGACTACGCATGCAGTCCACTTCCGACGGCGGTATATGACGATACGATTGGTATTGTTTTCAGGGAGCTATGAATAGTGAGGAACGGTGAGGGGGGCCTGGACAGGTGGCATGCCCTATCCTACGACCCCGCCATCGCATGGCGACTACTCCAGCCTACGCCGGCAGGTGAGAGAGAGAGAGATGAGAGAGAGAGAGAGAGAGAGGCAGAGAGAGAGAGAGAGAGAGAGAGACGAGAGAGAGGGGTGCGGAGGGCGTAGGGCCGGGAGAGAGGAAGATGGTGAGGAAGGGCAAAAGGAGAGCAAGTGGAAGTTGAGAAAATTGATAATATGGGAGAGAGCTGAGAATG